ATGATAGGTCCCCTTTAAACTGTCACACACTTAAATAAACTGTGATTATTACTTTAAATAATAAAAGGACAATTACTTTCTCATGCAGTGTCTGGGTCCTGTTAATAATTCAATCTGAACAACGTGCAACAACGCACAGCTAGAGGACTGTAAGAGGCAAACCGAGGGGAAGTAAAAGGTGAGCTGCTTTTTGAAGTTTCCTGAGCTGCCATGTGTGTTCAGAGACTTTCAGAGATCCTGTGTCTCTGAGATGCAACCACAGCTTCTGTTCGACTCATTTGCTGAGAGACAGAAAGCTGGATCATCTGAGACAGAAAAAGGAGAGAAGAAGGTGGAGGTGGTGTGTAGTAAACATCCAGAAGAGCCTAGATTGTTCTGTAAGGATGAAGAGAGAGCTTTGTGTCCTGTCTGTGAGTTTTCTCTCCACCAGAGTCACAAGGTGGTTCCTGTAGAACAAGCAGTCAGTGAGCTGAAGGACCTGCTGAAATCTGACTTAGAGTCTCTGCAGGACAAGAGGGACAAATACAAAGGAGTGGAGAAAACATACAAGGAAGTGATTCAAGTGTCCGAGAAGCAGCTGCTGTCCACAGAGAGGCAGATCAGAGCAGAGTTCATCAAGCTCCATCAGTTCCTGAAAGAGGAAGAGGAGTCCAGACTGGCAGCTCTGAGGGAGGAAGAGGAGCTGAAGGGGAAGACTATCAGCAGAGAGATGAAAAGCATTCAGGAGAACATCTCCTCTCTGTCACACAGTATCTCTGCTGTTGAAGAAGAGCTGCAGAAACACAACGGGCCCTTCCTCAGCAGTTACAAAGCCACTCAGAGCAGAGCCAGAGTCCAGAGCTCACTGTCAGACCCACAGCTGCTCTCAGGAGCGCTGCCAGATGTGGCCAAACACCTGGGCAACCTGTCCTTCAGAGTCTGGGAGAAGATGAAGGACCAGGTCCACTTCAGTCCTGTCATTCTGGACCCAAACACTGCAAGCAGCTGGCTCTCTCTGTCTGATGATCTGACCAGTGTGAGACATGGAGACAAAGATCAGCAGCTTCCTGATAATCCAGAGAGATTCACTAAGTATGCTCATGTTCTGGGCTCTGAGGGCTTCAGCTCAGGGAAACACAGCTGGGAGGTGGAGGTGGGAGATCATCCTGACTGGTTTATAGGTTTGACTAAAGAGTCAGTTGACAGGAAGGGAGAGATAGGTGTCTCACCAAAATATGGAATCTGGTGTTTAGTACATCGCAGTGGAAAATACACTGATGGTGATGGTAAGACTGTCAGAGTGGAGAAGAATCTCCAGAGGATCAGAGTCCAGCTGGACTATGACAGGGGGGAGGTGTCCTTCTACGACCCTGAAGACATGACTCCCATCTGCACTCTCACAGACACTTTCACTGAGAAACTCTTCCCATATTTCGGTATTGGAGAAGCTGGTGATGCTAAAACTGCTGATATCAAAATCTGTCAAAGTGAGATTCCTCTGTGATGCTCAGGAGTGTTGGTTCAGACTTTATTCTGACTTCGTCCGTCTAGATCCTTTTGAAATAATCAAGGTAAAAAACAACAGATGATAATCAGAATTTAATTTGAGTCTGTAAGATTTTAAATGTTAAGATTTGATCATGTTTTATTTACAGAGTTTTACACGTTTTACTCAAAGTCTCAGTGCAACAAAACTAATAATTTGTTTATTTGTTATAGTTTATCATTTTGTTATACTTTATTATAATGTGTTTATAGCTTTAAAGGTGGGGTAGGTAATTCACTTCAGAAACACTTTTTGTTATATTCCATGGAATGCTCTTAACATCCCGATAGCAATGAATATATTAAGTGCTTTGACAATAAATACATACAAAAATATCATCTGTGGAAGCCGTAGTACTGTCAAAAGCACGACCAATCATCTGAGCCGGCCCGGCTAAAATAACTGGATGGCCTACCTGCCTGTCAGCCTTCCATTTGTGTACAAACTTATCTCGTGCCCTCATTGGTCATGTGCGCGTTCGTGTGTGTTGGGGGAGGGGCTCTGTAAGGAAGTCTGAAGGAAGGGGCAGATTTTTTAAGAAGATTTGATCAGGTTTTATTTACAGAGTTTTACACGTTTTACTCAAAGTCTCAGTGCAACAAAACTAATTATTTGTTTATTTTTATAGTTTATCATTTTGTTATACTTTATTATCATGTGTTTATAGCTTAATGTCATGAGATTGTTTGATTATGTTTTTTGTGAATTCTTGGCTTTTAAGAAATGTATTCATTTTGTATGTCGTGCTGAAACTGCATGAAATAAACCAAACTAACAAATGAAAGCTGTCAATTCTCCTTTTATCAACATCTAGTTAATAATGAGACACTATATAGCACTATAAGTCATGAGTTTAACTTTCTGATATTTGTAGGTCTTTTGATGAGTTATGTTTAGATATGGATATATTGTTTTACTCTCCACGGGCAAGTCATTTAATACTTCTATTTCATTCTTTCATTGTTGCAATGTTTCTTTGGGACGTTTTCCGTACTGTATACATGGACGATAACATTTATTGTGATTGAAAATGTCATTTTTTTTATCAACCTGAAAGGAATCACAGCTGTAGAATGAAGTTTAGTATTTGTAATGCTGCTTCAGATATCTTATGATTCAATAACCAGCAGTTTGATGCAGAAATGTGTCTATGAACTTGATAGCTCCGTTGTAATCCCGTTTTTAGAGATTTGAGTACGGAGGAAAAGAGAGAGGGTTTTATTTTCTGACGCTGCGTGAGTTCCTCGACACACCGGGGACACATATTTATGTATAAAAGACATCGAAAAGTGCATTTTGCATGATAGGTCCCCTTTAAAGCTGTAATAAACCAGCCTCCTTGAAGAGGACATCACTGAGGGTTTATACACACAGACACATGACTGTCTGAATGGTTTGCTCTGGAGGAGAGTTTTCACTAAAGATGTACTACTTTCACTATCACATGTATTAGTTGTCTAACCTACTGAGTGCAGTTTTCAGGGAGAACATATACAAATGTGCAAAATGTGATCCACATCATAATATGTGATTGCATGGTCACGTTTCACTTCCCGTAAACACCACAAGATGAAGACAAAGTCAAGATGTGTTTAACTGCTGGATCATTTTGAACATTGAACATGTCATTTATTTCACTTATTCACATGGAAATTATTGTTTCATGCACAGGTTGATCGATAGCAATTTGTATTTCAATACATATCCTTTACCCCATCCTGTTTGACAGACATACTGTATGTCCAGGGAACCTAAGAAATGAATCTCTGCTGTGGCTCTCGTTGTGGCTTCATCAGGCACAAAGAGTTCAAATCATCTCAAACACATTCTTCAGATTACATTATATCTTATAAAAGCAACACAAAAGCTACGTTTAATTGCTTTCTTCTGTTAATTAGGATGGTGGTGCATGAGTCAAATCCAATGTTCATGTGTCTGTCGGAAAGACAAAGATGCAAGTGCAAGGATTTTTTACTTTACTTATGACTAACTGCTGGAAGTATCAACCAATACATGTAATGACTGCATAAACATGAAGTCAAAGATAGAAAGGGAGGGATAATGAACTCATTGCAGGACGCTGCCTTCCCTAATTGCTGGAGCGAGCTGCCACAGCACATCGTAAATTCCTGTAATGTCCTGCCGAGGAGCCCCCGCTCTGGTTACACTTGTAATCTTTTTGCTGTCTGTCCGGTGATAGAAAGACAAACATAATACAATAAAAGTTAATTAAATATCGATATGGCTGTTTTTGCATGTTTTAAGATTCTTTGTTTGTGGCCTTCTGTAATCACTAAACATTTGTTCTGGATTTAGTCTCAAGTGCTTCTTGTCTTCATGTGACAGGACAAGCTGTTTCCATTTTTAAATTAAGTCATCCAAAATTAAAAAGCTGGACATACTGGTCACTTTTGTTAAATGATGTCTGGCATTAACGTGTAACCTCTTTTAGACTTAATCTGAGCTATTTATCACACCAGGAACATGACTGATGTTTTTCTCCTCCTCATTTGAAATAGTGTACATTGAATATCAAGTCCAGATTTAGACCTGGATAGTGTTTCATCTGTTTCACAGACAGGAAAGCTGTGCAGCTGAACGCTGTTAACACACACAAGTACAGAACTTCTCTCCAAGAGTCTGCGGAGAAGTGCTACAATGTCTCGCTGAATTCCTTCCCAGTCTTTTCTGTCCCTCAAGGCAAATGATGGAGCATATGCCTGACTCGCTGAGATGGTGATCAAGTGTGTGAGAGCAGTTGAGGGGAGAGATGGAAAGAGGGAGTGAGCGAGAGAGTGTGATTTTGTCCCACATTGACCGTCATGAGACTCTACTTGTGTGGAAGCATGATACAGTACAAGTATGTGTGTCGTGCATACGCTGTGTGTGTGAACACAACACGTACTGCACGAGTGTGTGGTTTTTTTTCAGTGGGGTTCAGGCCAACAAAATTAGTTTACCATCAGCTGTGCTCTGGCTCTCGTTCGGTCCCAGCCTCCGTCCAGTATTTCTTCCAGCTCGCTCCACCTAATGGCGGCTCAGGGCTGTTTTACTGCACCACCCTGGGGAGGCTACTGTGGCCAGATCCAGAACACTTGGCTTTATGTGGATTGAATGTTTTATGGTTATGGACATAATATTTAAGTATAGGAACAGTCTCACATGAATCCACCCCCGCACCACTATCTCAAATAAATAGACCAGTGAAGGAAAAGTTAGTGGACACAATTCTGTATACTGTAGAAAAGACATTAGCAAAAAGTTAGGCAGTTAACTGTAGCTTATACTGTTAAGTAGTGAAATATTAGTATATTTACCCAAGGAATAAACTTACATTTTAAGTATTTTATTGTGCATTTCTAGCTTTTTATTTATACTTCTAGTCCACACTTCAGTTGGGGAATATTGTATTGTAGTTTTTTTTGTAGTCATATTTTTGAAGGAATTTCTCACTATTTTCTATTTATTATTTAATCTTTACGAAACCAAACAGTGAATTGATTCATTGTGGGGAAAAGTCCTGGATGCATGACATTATAACAAATTATTTGTGTTCGGTATGATTCATTTACTTATTTAGAATGATTCATATTTCACATAGCAGGCAAATGCAACTCATCCTCTGAATATGTATGTAATGCATACACCTTTTATTTGTAGGGTCTCCTTCATCGTCAGAGCATGGATTTAGAAACCAAGCTTAGGTCATTTCAAAATAACACACGCAAATGTGACAAAATGGCAAGCCACATCAAGGTAAGTCACAGACAAACTCCAATGGAAAAGCAACATGTGTTGTTGACTTTCATAAAAACATGTTTTCTCCTCAGCTCCAGGCTCAGCAGACGGAGAAGACGATCAAAGAGGAATTTGAGAAGCTTTACCAGTTCCTGCGAGCAGAGGAGACTGCTAGGATTGATGCAGTGAGGAAAGAGGCAGCGCTCAAAAGTGAAGCAATGGACACAAGGCTTGTTGAATTGACAACAGAGATCTCCTCGTTAACAGACAACCTACAAACTCTAAAGATGGAGATCAAGGTCGATGACATGACATTTATGCTGGTACTAAATGATTACCTTTCTAAATGTATATTTAGAACATAACACTGAGTATTTAACATAATCTTAATATTGATTTGTTTGCCTATTTTTTCTCTTTATTTAACAGAATGTCAAATCCACTCTGCAGCAGTAATTTGTTTCGTGTCAACTATGTATATAACATTTAAGAGTGTCCACTTCAGCAGCATAGCTTATGGTAGTTTGGGACTGATCTCGTCCACTGTGTGGGGAAAAGTCCTGGATGCATGACTTTCAAAAGTTTAGGGTGTTTGAAGCTTGTTAAAAGGTTTGGAGGTTAACTTGAAACAATTTCTTAAACATACTGCTTGAATGTCTGGCCAGTCATAAACAAAACCCAACAATATAATGAAACTTTTGCAAGTTAAAGATATGTAACAATAAATGTATTTGTTTCTATGCACCAGATAGAAATGGTACCAATATGGGTTATTTAAAATATTTCGACTGATAATCTTTGGCTTCTTATATTTCTTTAGATCCATCTTCAACCTACCAGACCCTGAGACTCCATTAGGAGCCCTTCTTGACGAGTCCAAACACACTGGGAACCTGTTATTCACAGTCTGGAAGAAGATGAAGGACATCATCCAATACAGTAAGCAGAGTTTTTTAACCTACAGATACACGTTTAGGTAACTTCCTTTTATCAGGAAAGCAACTTCCAGGTTTTCTATGAATACACTGTAATGCCTTAAGTCGAACATTTACCTTTACTATAATGAACATCACAATAAATATTTTATTTCCCCTTCAAGCTCCGATTACTCTGGACCCCAACACTGGCTCCAGCATACTTATTATATCCGATCACATGACTCGTTCAACAACAATGGTGTCAGACCCTTCCTGAAAACCCAGAAAGGCTGAGCGCCTCAGACGTCCTTGGCTCTGATGGGTTTAGCTGTGGAAAACACAGCTGGGATGTGGAGGTAGAAGGTTATTGGGTTATTGCTGTGACTTGTAAGGATAACACCTGTGGAAAGAAATGGGGCATTTACATGTGCAGTTGCACTGACAAGGTGTGGGAACTTACTCCAGAGGATTTTATGAAAATTGTATCTGAAGATTCATTTCCCAAAATAATCAGAGTGCAGCTTGATTATGACCATGGAATATTAGCATTTCTTGACCTTGACAGGAAAAAACCTTTAAATACACTTTCACGGAAACGGTCTTTCCGTATTTTCAGTGAAACGTAAAAATGCTTCCTGCTGAATGGTCAGTTGTGCAAAGACAAACCACTTAAACATTCTACATTATTGCAGAGGTCAAACAACAGAAAGAGACCTTATTTTGGGGCCAGTTTGCGAAATGAACTAACTTACTGAACTGTTATGGCCAAATTAGGAATATGAGTTTTATTAGTGTCTACTTTTTATTCTTTTCTTTTTAAATATACGTTTTAAGTTTGAATTTGTCAGTTTTCAGTATATTTGTGTAAATCTTTGCTATCCCTGTTTGCTCTTAGTTTATTCAGCTTTAAAAGGGCCCTCTATTGACTTTACACTTGAAGTTTGGTTTACTCCTCCTGAGAAGTACTAAACAGCTTGTAAAAAAACAGAGTGTATACGGTATTTCATGGCTCTGAAAGATCTTTGAAAGTGGCGTTTAAAAAATATGAGCATTTAGGAGGAAGGGAGGCTCAAATGAAAGATGCTAATGAGTTGCATTATGGGAAATGTAGGAACCAGGATCACCCATACCAGGGTCTAAAAGTTATTTTGTATTAAACTAGATCCAAACTAAATCACTGGAAAATCTGTTTAATATCATCCATTGTTTTCTTTAAGAATATACAGGTTGATAGAGGTTAGGTTGAGTATGAATCTGTTGAAAGGTTTTGAAATAATCTTTAAAATATCTTTTGTTTCATTTCAGGATAAATCCACTGTTAAGATTGTATCAGCTTCTAGATGATATAATTCCCATTATAATACCCGGTTACAGACCCTGCTCTTTAGCATAGTTTTAATCTGGTCTATGTTCCCTTTTCCAGGATTTTCAATTTTGTTAAGTTTTGTTTTCAAATCTGAATAAATGAACACTCTTAAAAAGTAAAGGAACTGGGGGGTGGGTGTAGGGTAGAGGGATGGGATGTAATTAATCCAAAATGTTGTGCAACCTGAATTGTCTTCTGTACTGTGGTGTAAATTGAAGATGTTGCAATAAAAAAAAGATGTATTATAAAAAAAATACTATACTGAGCACTCAATTTAAAAATAAATAAAAGTAAAGGAACTGAAATTCTCAGTTAATTGTTGGTTCTGTGATTCTTGCATTGCATGTTTCAGTGGTGAGAGTCTCTCTCACATACCAGGAAGTGATGTCTGACTTTTTCCTACCACTTACATACTGTCATTGTTTGCTGCAGTCACAGTTTGATGCTCACTGTTTTGAGACATTATGGTTGCGTTCACTTTCTGTTTTACCTATTATTTAAGTGCCAGCTAACTTTTGACCTGTTTACAATGTGTCTAATAGACAGCTCAGGTTTATTGCCACAAAGCACTTTTGTGAAGAAAAAAATGCTCAGCTCATAAAAGTAAAAGCCAGAGATTAATGCCCACATTAAACTTTAAAAAAAGGTTTTGCTTTAAGACTTGGTTACATTTTAAAGGTCTTTTTTAAAGCTTAATGTCAATACTCCTTTGCACTGGTGATGTGCATGAAGGTTGATTATGGTCTACTACATTAATTTAGCAATTTGTTAAAGACTCATCAGATCATATTAATAATCAGATAACCAGGATATATTCTTTCCGCATTGTTTTTGCCATGAATGTTTCTATTTATTGCACTGCAACATTTTTAAAAAGTGATCTGTGGTGCAGTTGGTTTTATGTTTGGTATCCAGTGGCGGCCGGTCCATAGGGGCGCTAGGGGCGCCGCCCCACCTCTTCCCATATTAAAAAATAAAAATAAAAATAAAAATAAAAAATATATTTTAAAAAATATATATATTTTTATTTTTATTTTTAATGAACAAGGTAAATATTATATAATTGGTATCAGTAAAATGTATAATCTACAATAAAATCTCGTTTAAAATTGTGTTACGATGTCTAAAGTTACTGATAAGTCACATGTTTCCTGCCTGGCCTTGCCCGTGTATCATTACTCCCTCTCGTCTGGGCGCTATGCACAGCGCCCAGACGAGAGTGCAGCAAGTGCAGCAGAAGCCAACTGTTGCTATCTTTAAACTATGCCGCTGAAACATAATTTCAGCCAATCAGCGTCGTCAAATCTGATGGTCACAGGCAGCCGCGGCGTTATGGGTGGGCCTACTGGGCCTAGGCCCACCCACTCTGTCACTGGGCCCACCCATTCATTGATCAAAAATGACTGGGCGAAAATATAGTTTCCAACATTTTTATTTTTGATTATCAAAACTAACGATTACATAATAAAATAAGAGCAAACATGTGTTTCCCTTTAAAAAAACTTAGAAAATTAAAAGCAACATGAATTAATGTAATCGGGCAACGTAAAATGTGAATTTGGACCGAACTCATAGTGGAAGCACGGGAGCAAACGCATCGTAGAACGTCTCGCGGGCGCGCGCAGATGGAGGACAGTGGACTGGACAGGCACAAAAAAATATACCGCACTCACTCACGATGTCACAACAATCGATGTTCAGGTTTCCTGCCTGGCCTTGCCCGTGTACCTTCTCTCGTCTGGGCGCTAAGAGAGGAGCCCTCAACCAGTGCAGCAGCAGCCACTAGCAGCTGACTGTTGCTATCTGTAATGTGTAAACTATGCCGCGAAAACATAATTTCAGCCAATCAGCGTCATCAAATATGATGGTCACAGGGCTCCTACGTGAGCGCCCGGTGCAGTCTGTGAGTTGTTTGGACTCGTATCCAAGGAGACAAAACAGGAAGCTGTCATACACTCTGGAAGCTACCACATTAGCAGCTAATGAAAACTCAGTTTTTGACATAAAAATGGAATTATGGATCATCAATCATTTTTCAAAGTGACAGACACATTGGATTAATTTATGGATTAACCTTCAGCTGCGTTTTTCTCGTTTTTGATCAGAATTGTTATTCTGCAAAAGGTGAGCATATCTCCATGTTTTGCTACCTAAAGCTACATCGTGTGATGTCTGTATTTGCTTCCCCTCGCGAGTTCTGATCGCTCAGTGATGATACTTATATTTATAAAATATGTGGAATCTCAGCTTGTAAGCTTGTTTGTGCATATCCGATAAGTATATCGATTGATTTATACCTAGAGCGCGTTAGCATTTTTCGCTCAGGGCTCATTTAGACGATTCTTGTGAGACTTGTGTTTTGTTTTGGTAAACATGGTTCATATCATCAGTTAGATGCGTTTCCTCTGAGTAGGACACATGAATAGTTTATTACATTTTAAGAAGCCCTGAGACACAGTTTCGTGAGAGAAAAAAACGGGGAAAAAAAGCCCCATAACAGGTTAAATGGGAATTAAATCAGTGTTCCAAAAGCCCCGGTGTTCTGCAGTTTGTGTGGGCCTACTGTACTGTTGCACAGTTTATGCTGTAGAAACTATGTCCAGGACAAGGTGTTTGGAAGTTTTGGAAGATTCATAGCTAACCACACTGAAGTTATGGAGGTATTGATCAGTCTTCTCATATTTTTAAGCCTCAAATTGTCCTTCTCCCCCCCTCTAACATCACCAGAAGTCATGATTTAAGGGGTCTTTTCTCAAAAAAAATTACCGGGGGAGCATCCCCCCGGACCCCTCTAGTATTGTTTGATCACCATTTCCACAGCCCCACCTAAAATATTTTCCACCAGCCGCCACTGTTGGTATCAAACCCAATGTTCTTTTCAAAACCTCCATGCTAACTTCTTCATATAAGCTTAATAAAAATGATGCAAAGCACATCTTTTGTGATTACTCATGTTTCATTAATGTATTTTACAAAAGCAGTTAATAGATGATTCTTATATAGCTTCCATGTTATTGTCAGGGTTTGGGGTGAGGCAGGACCCAAATGCAGATTGAGGAGAAGCGGGTTCCAAAGTGTAACAAAAAGCGAGCTTTAATTAAAAAAAAAAGAAAAGCTGTTGACAATGAAAAAACAAGACAAAACCATAAATCCATAAACAGGTAGCACGAGGTAGCATCCAGACAAAAACCTGCAGATGCCACGAAATGAGCCAGGCCCTACTGCAAACATGGAGGGTGACAACAAAGACAACGATCAGACATGGAGCACAGGGGGAAGACAAGACTAAATACACAGCAGGGTAATCACAGGACAAGACACAGCTGGGCAGTGAGGCAGAAACACAAGGGCAACAGGTGAACACAATCAGACAATCAGACACAGGGAGAACAGAATTTCAAAATAAAACCATGACTAGACAGACAAAACTAAAATCGTAAATCCAATAAAAAGATGTGTCTTATTTTTCCAGTATAGTGAAATATCTGGTATGCATTGGGAATCAATAGGTCACATGACATGAAAGCTTTGAAAGTAAATGACACTTTTCATTAAACGTTTTTCAACTATTTCTCCTAATCATTATTTTCAGTAGTATGGGCAAGTTAGCATGGAGATTTTTAAAATAACAAAGGCTTTGTGCCATTGAAACAGTCATTTATTAGTAAATACCCTTTGGTTAAGAGCTATGAATCGGATAGGAGCTAACTGCCCTTTAACTGCATAACAAATGAGGAAGAAGAGCCTCTAGATCTGACTGAATGTCTGTTGAACATCCAACATAAAACCAACTTCACTGTGGTAAAAACCCCTCTCTTTTTACTCAGAAGACAGGAAGAAGGAAATAAGTGACATGAGTCAGCACATGAAACTGCTCATGGTAATGTGTTTGTAAAAACATCTAGTTAAACAAATGTTTAATGATTTAACACTTGGAGCTAAAGATTTGAAATACTACTCAAACTCTGAAAGTGAAAGTAAGTGAACAGCCTGAAAGCCTCAGGAGAAGTCAGAATGGCTGCTAATGTTTCACCGGATGAGGTGGAATTTACCTGCCCTGTTTGCTGTGATATCTTCAGGGATCCTGTTGTGTTGTTGTGCGGTCACAGCTTCTGTAAGCACTGTCTTCAGCAGTGGTGGAGACAGAGTGCTCTCCAGAGTTGCCCGACATGTAAGGGACTTTTTCCATCGGAACAGCCTCCATATAATCTAGCACTGAGAAACCTGTGTGACAATTTGAGACGAGAGAAGAGTCAGGGATCTAAGTCAGGATCCAAGGATCTGATCTGCAGCCTGCACAGTGAGAAACTGAAGCTCTTCTGTCAAGATGACCGACAGCTCATCTGTGTCGTA